GTAACTACATGAAGCTTCCTTTTCTGAATCAGGGAAATGCCACTTGTTAAGAGGAATACGAACTCTGTTTTATCACTCAATAAAAAGAAATTCGGATTAACTGAACACTTTAGCTGTGAAATCAATGATAATGCCTCACACATTAATGATAAAATACATGGGCCCACAGTACTGAGGGGTTGAATGTTTATGTGTTCCATATGTTTTTTATAACTAGTGTGGAGCATTATAATTGATTTCACAGCCTACTGAGCAGCTATTGCATTCAGCTAAACCAGACTCCTGTGCCCACACCACCCCCACCCACATGATTAACCCATATGAGCCCTTCATATTGCCCATATATTTGCTTAGGATTGATAAAACTCACAATTTCTTCTCATGTGATATTTCAGATATATCCTCTTCTTTTAAGTTACTAGTTATTTGGGAGTTTCCAGTAAAATAAAATCTTATAATTCAATTGACACTAGCTGTATGTAAAATCTATATTTCAATCAATCACGTTAAAAATGTTTTATTGTTCATTGATTCACTTTTCACAATATGCATTATAACTAGTTAATTTGCCTTCTTCCCTTTTATAGATCTATAAGATTAGGCAACTTGTATGAGTTGCAGTTCCCACTCTAAGAAACAAAAAGCTTTGCTTATAGCTTCCCACAAAGAAAATGTTCTTTTTTTTTATTATTATTATTATAAATACAATCTATGAATCTGAATTGGGTTTCATTATGGTTAAACCCATACTATATGGACAGGACTCATCCATTTTGGGCCCCAGAGTCCGATATATAATTCTACTTTTCTGACAAAGGAGAGCGGAGAGGCCCACTTGGCCACTTGAAATGAAAATAAAGATGGTAAATGTTATTATAAACAATCATTTACCTTGACAGCCTTAAAAAACCACTGACGATACGAAAAAGGGAGGTTTTTGTTCTTTATTTCTTCTGTTTTATTTTCTCCCCTTTTATTCATGGTCACCATACCTTTTGTTCTTTGATCTCTAATTGATATAAAGTTTTAGATTTTTTTTTATTGTTCTTTTTCTTCTTGTCAAAACTATTAGATTTTTCCTCCCTTTTTTTACTAGGACATAGGCATGGGCATTGCACGTAGTATTAATATTAAATTGAAGTATTATCATATTATGCCCACGAGAATTATATTATATTACTGGTTGCATGGCACGTGCCATGCAAGAGAAAGAGATAATGGAGAGAGAGAGAGAGAGGATAACAGATGGATTAAATTTTTTCTACGGTGGTCTGACCATAAAGTTAATGTAAATGTCTTGTTGTTAGATGATATAAATAACACGAAAAGAAAGACATCATACTCGAAAAAATTTATAACCAATCAACCGGTATCACAAAAATAATAATCAATCAGATGAATGTGTATCATAATTGATTAAAATCTTTTTGATATTATATCTTTTCAATATCATAGATTTTTCCTTAAAATTAAAGATAATGAATTGAATGGGACATACATTTAGTAATGATAAATGTATTAAACAAAATTACCTGAAATCAAACCCTAGGGGCCCATCGAAGAAAAACTTCAAACCCTAAGGGCCCATCAACACAAATCCCTATATCTACCAAAGTTCAAAGTATGAAGACACCCCATCACACACTCCATGCCCAAGAGGTATTATGGTTTGAGGAGTTTCACGGCATCATGATGATTTGCCCTAGCATCTAGTGGAATCACAAAAATTCTATTAATATTGATTGTAGTTTCCCTTGTCAATTCCTTTGTAAATCACAGGCCCAGTTCTTTCACCATCCGTTATCGATTTGTACTTTCCCTCAATTTTCTCTCTCTCTTGTTTTATGTCAAACCAAGCGCAGCTTAATGGATTAGCTGACTCTGAGCACCATCACTAATTAGAAGATTGTAGGAGAAACTTTTACTTTTTACAAGGAGGAAAATTCTCCTTCCAATAATGAAATAACTAACTAACTAAGCCGCATTTCTCATTTCTCATATTTGAAAGGTGATTTGAAAGAATGTTAAACTTCATGCTTTCCTAGCCTACTCTCTATTCTCTTGTTTTCTCATGTGGTCGGAACAGTCGGTCCGATAAAAATGTGCCACTTGTCTTTTGCATTCAGGTATAAATACAAAACTGTGGACCTTACCATAGTTCTTACTGTGCACACGAGGAGAAAAGTTTGACTGTTTGGAATCTTCATGCAAGGTTTAAAATATTGATATGTCCGATGTATCGATAGGAGCATATTCATATTGGGTTATATCAGAACTTGATTTTACTTTTTTATTTTTCTTTTCAAAATTAGTTCAGGGGACCGGTTTAAGACTCCTTCACCCCTTGAACTGGTCAAAACCTTGATACACCCCCTATAGTGGCATATTAGAGAACTCCCAAAATAATACGGATCGATATGTATCAATACTTTAAACCTTAGATATATATTACCATGAATGTAGGGTAAAAGAGTAACTGCAATCAATATTCTAAACTAAATAAAAAACTAAGGTAATGTATATCATGTGAAAGAAAGCTTCAAAAATAACCCAAAGGTTTTATCCTCTCAAAGAGCGAAGTCATTGAAAGCCTGCAGTAGACAAATTTTATCCTCTCAAAGAACTGAAAGAAAGCTTAAAAAACAACCCAAAGGTTTTATCCTCCTCAAAAAAAGTTATATTGGTTGTTTCAATAGAAAAAAAAGTTTATTATTATTATGACATAAATGCAATAGATTCTTTCAGTGTAACACATCGATGATCCTCTCTCTCTTACAGGTCATTGGGTTCAATACAATGAACTTAACCATCCAAATTTCTCCTCATATTTCAATGCATTTGGACTATCCATCTTCCACTAGGGTTAATTACTGAGGTCAAATATTAGACTGCTAAATAAATGATTTCTAAAACTAAAACCTTACATTTCCGATAGAAATAATTCTGGTTTGTGCATGAACACACTTCATATCCCTTCCAACTCATAAACCATGAAATTGGCTAGGGTTATTCTTGTGGTGAATCATGAGTACCCACATGATAATCCCCACCATCTTTGATGTCTACACTAGTAAATTTTGTGATTCAAGCTTCTTCTATCTAGATTTAGTCATTCCTAATTTCTCTCAAGTTCCTATATATAGCATTTGATTCTTTCTTGGTAGAGGGAAATATCACCCATTTTGCTTCATTCACCATCCATCTGTATTACTACTTGATGTTCACTTTAAGTATCACCCAAGAAATGCATATACAATACAAGTATTAATTCTAAGGGGGAGAGATCACCACTTTTCTATGTACTTGCCTCTCAAAAGCAATTTCACAATTAGCCTTTCCTTTGCATAAGAGATAAGCTTTTTTATAGATCATAGATTAGATCAGATCACTATGGAAATGAAAAAAAGAAAAAAAAAAAAAGATTTTAGCTTTTGCTTTTATAGCCGAAAGTGAACCTGTTGGCTTGTGAAACAACAAATGCCCTTTCAAGCCATCCCTTCTCTCCTTTAAAGGAAAAGAATTCATACCATCAACATTACGTGCTCAACAGGCCAGCACTATTGCTACACTTGTCATGCACTTCCATTCAGTATGTGACAGGCGTTCTATTATATATCTTAATTAAAAAAAAAACCCTTAAAAAAACCGATAACCAATTAACCCATATCATAAATTCATAATTCATAGTGGTGGTGTGGTAATCCAATAGGGCTGCAAGTCAGGTTGCTCGATTTGAAGAGTTCTAATTATATCGATCGATCAGGCTCAGTTTAAGATTCGGGTCCATTGAAAATTTGACAAATTCTGAATCCAACTCAACCCAACATGCACCCTTAACTAGTTATTTATTCCATCAAAATTCATGGGGTTTGTTTGTTTGGTCAAATCTTGTTACAAATATAATAATAAAAGAAGGATCAGAAGAAACTACCTTGATAGCAACCTTATGACATAGACCTTAAACTACTGCACTCATGGACGCGCGGCCAAGTCAAGCTAACCAGTTTGGTGCGTTCCTATATATTGTTTGTTGGAGCCTGAAACCGCACCGGCCGGCTTTGGCCCTGACCCAACTGGAGATGAGGGTTTTGACCAGGTCCCCGCCCGTCTGGCCCCATTTTTTATCCGGCCCGGGCCCGGGCCCGCCTAAGTGCTAGTTCGGTTCGGTCCTAAGCATGGGTACTTCGGTAATTATGCACCAAAATCACGACATTGCACAGTGGTTCCCCACTCCCCAGCTGCATGACCAATCATCCACCTGAAAAGAAGATCAATGTCGGTGTGGGCCCCGCGAGTCCTTTGGATCCGATCACAGATTCTTTTTAGATTTCCGATAACAAAGTGAAAGTCCCGATACGGCGTAAATAAGAACGGAGCCATGCGCATCAGTGGATCACACGTTTAACACACACAAGCTGTTGCCTTGCCTGTTGGTTTGATTTCTTCTCTTCTTCTTCTTCCTTCTTCTGTGAGAGCAAAAGACAAAAAGAAAATAAATAAAAGGAATAATACGGTTATGAGGCTATCCCTTCTCTCTTCTCTTACTCACTCGGATTCAACACCGAGTTAACACGGACTGGGTCCCACTCCGGCTCTCCGCTCCCACGCCGTGTATTTATTATTTTACGTTATCAGAATTAAAAGCAAATAAAAGTCAAGTACCAAGAATAACCCTACCTATGTACTTACTCCACATTTTGACGAAGTATAATTAATACATCGAGCTATTCTGTTGTAAAGGGCATTAGTGTCAACGTCTGAAAAGTGGAGGACGCAGTAGTCAATGTAGAGAAAGGTAAGGAGATTTTGGTGAAAGGAACCCAAACAGATAGAGAGAGAGAAAGAGTGAATGAAATAAATAAAAAATCAAAAAGTGAAAAGGACAAAAGATCAGTTGGGGCCATTTTGCTTTTCCCAGTCACTGCTTTTCCGTTTCCTACCCGCCATTTCCTCTCTCTCTCTCTCTGTCATCAGACTCATCACTTCCTCCCATGTGACCGGCTCTGCTAAAGCATACCTCCATCCCTCTCTCTCTCTCTCTCTCTCTCTCTCTCTCTCTCTCTATACATTTTTTCTTTTATAAAAGCCTTGTGAAGAAGTGAATGAAGACGAAATCCTAGATTCTTTTTCTCGATCTACCACCCACTCTCTCTCTCGCTATCTCATCTCTCCAAATTTTACTTAGAGAGAACGAATCAAAGCTGGGAATGGATACTCTTGGTTTGCGGTGTCTGCTCTGAGGCTTTGCAGAGCACCCGCAAATGAAGCTCTTTATTTCGAAGATCGTTTTCTTCCTCCTTGTTTTCACTTCTCTTGCTGCGATCTCAGCTGGTTCTCCAATCTTCCAGAGATGGAGAAGCAGAACATTTCAGAAGCTTATATTGGGTTAGTCTCCATTTATGTTTGGGTTCCGGGGGCCAGAAAAAGTATTTCCATTTTTGGAGTAATCGTGGCTGCATTTGTTTCGGATGTTTTCAGGATCTTTTGTGTTCTTTCGTCTTTGTTTAATTTTAGATTCTGTTATACATGAATGTGATTGCAGATTTACAATGACTTCTCGTTTTCGTTTAGTGGCTAAGTCTTGAAGGGAATGCTTTGTCTTTAACACTTATCACACTTTTGTTTCTACGAGTTGAATTCTTGTTGATTTTTTTTTTTTTTTTCTCACTGCAGGAGAGGAGAATTTGGGGCCCTGGGCGACTGGGCTCTTGCAGTTCGCGCAAGCGCCAGGGCCTGCGTACCGTGCGCCTCCTGATACACTTGTTTTGGCCGCAAAAAGAACCAACAGGCCTGACATACTTCGTGGTTTCAAGCGTTATCGAGGTGGTTGGGACATTTCTAACAAGCATTACTGGGCAGTAAGTCATCTGTTGCTTGTTATTTTATTTATTTCCTTCTCTCCTTTTCTTGGGTTTATTTAATTGGTTTGTTTAAACGTGATTGCAATGGAGATAATTTCTTACTTTTCTTCTCAATGCCTATTTTTATTTCATGGATCAGTGGACACTAGTTCGTCTGTGCTCCATTGTATATTATTCTTAAGTTGGACTCATTTCGGATTTTATTGATATGTGTACATATATTTGAAAAGCTAAGGTCCTTTCATTTATTTTTCAAGGAAGTAGTGCACATTGTACACAAGAAAGAAAAAAAAAGGAGGCATTCTGGGAGCACAACTGCTGATGATCCCTTTATGATTATTCCTACAAATGTTGGTGATGGTCCTGGTCCTTTCGTTTTATTAACTACTTGAGCAACTACAAAGATCAATGGGAGTTTTGGACGCTTACTTGACATCATATCTGCAGAATCTTCCCCAAAAGAAGGGGGAGGAAGAAAAAATTTACTAGGATGTTGACAAATAATCAGATATTCAGTTCTTGTTATATCATTCCCGAGCCATAAATACCTTTTATCTACCAAAGATTTGAAAATTCATGACTGGCTCATATGATTAATTGAAGTTCTTCACAGGGTCATAATGGAAGAATAGGTTGGGATAAATTATTTATATCATCTCAAGAAGCATTAGTGAGCATCTGTCGGTTCACCCAAGAGAACAACTGTATATGAATATGGGTACTGAGAAAGCCAGTATGAAACCAAGTTGAGATACTACATGATGGCCGGTTTCCTTTTTGGTTGTTTATGTAGGATGATTGAATCCATTAGGGAGATATTCTCGAATACTGAAGAGAAAAACTAGACAGATAAAAGAATGGAAAAGAATTACTCGTCTAACAAGGGGAGAAATTTACTGGTTTATTGGATGAACAGTAGCATGATATTTGGTTTGTTCTACTCAAAGATAGGAAGGCCCCTAAAGATACCCTTTGCATGGTAGAGTAGTAAAATTCTCTACAAGTGTATACGGTATACCTTGTCTGAATCAGATCTGAAGTGTTTGTATGCATTTACTTCTCAATTATTTTACCATTTGATTTTTTAGAATCTCAAATCATGCATAATTCTGCGTCTTTGTTGGTTTTTCTTTCTTTCCATGTTTTTTCTAATGTACATGATTTAGATATTTTTTTTCTGTATTTTGACTAATTATATCTGCAGTCTGTAGGGTTCACAGGTGCTGCTGGGTTTCTTCTTGCTGCCCTATGGTTTGTTTCTTTTGGCTTTGGTCTCGTGGTACATTATTGCTGTAAATGCAGAATAAGCATCACAGACAAGGGAACCCGCAATTCACATAGGATTTGCTTTATTCTGCTACTTGTCTTCACGTGTGCTGCAGCGTAATAATCCAGACTTGAAATCTTTCATTTATACTTTTTTAGATTCTGCATGCCTGCTGGTGCTTTCCCTGGTTTTGTTTAGTGGTACTTTTCCCCCAAGAATCAATAAGTGCACCCCTGAAGCTGAAATGTAGCCGAATTCAGTTACATGGGGGAAGTGGGGGTGGGGGCGGGTATCCAGATAGTTGATCAGAGTCATCAGACATGGAACCTTCTGGATCTAGATCTTTACCAATATAATGGACATTTTGCCAAGTATTACTAGCTTCCAATGTCTTGACTTTTAATTTGAGAAATTCCAAGAAAAAGACCATGTTTCAGTAAATCACAACTCACAAGGACCTACTAGTGAAGATTTTGGGTGAATGGAGAGCATATGTCAAACACATAGAGCCCTTTGGAGGCACTATCTGTGCTGCCACAACATAGACTTCTTGGTCATTAAGTCAAACAACTCGGATGCTATGATATGTGCAATAGCAGAAGTCAATATCAGTCTCCTTGGTAATCTTGAAACAGTTGTAAAAACCATGGGTCCCCATATCTGTTTCAAGACATGATGTCATTGAATGTGAACACTGGACAGCCCTACTTGTATGCCTCAATAAGCTATTGGTGGAATCTTCTTTGTAAAATGCTCCACATAAGAAGTATGCCACCTTGGAGGATGTTAGTGCATCCTGAATCTGATATCTGAGGAAAGGAACATGGTAGAGTTTCTACCTTTAAGTTTTTATAGAAAAATTAGAAGGTGATGGCATTCAAAATTATATGACATGTAAAAGGTTGTAGGAAGGGACTGACTATGACTTTAAGATTTCAGGAAAGATCCAAATTTTGGTGGATAATCTAAAGCCAGTTTCTTTGATGACATTTTGTTTTGAATTTATCTGCTCCATTTATGATTTGATCTTTCTTTAGGGAGGAAGAGGGGAGGGGGTAGTGTTATTGGAATGAAATTTATAATTTGTTTTTAAGTGAATAGTTCTATTTCAAAACCTTGTTTAAGAATTGCACTTATAAGATTCCAAATTTTTCTTTTTTCTTTTTTTTAGTTGAAATTTATTTTTATCTTTCCTTTCAATGGTTTTGTTGACACCTTGTATTTCCTTTTTCTGTCATCCAGGGTTGGATGTATTCTTTTATCTGTGGGGCAAGATAAATTTCATGATGAAGCATTGCATACTCTACATTATGTTCTAAACCAGTCAGACTACACTGTGCAGACACTTAGAAATGTCACGGCATTTCTATCACTTGCCAAGACTATAAATGTGAACGAGGTTATCCTCCCATCAGATGTTAAGGATGAAATCGACAAGTTGAACTGGGATTTAAATGCAGCAGCAAACACACTGACAGAGAAATCTGCTGAAAGTTCTGGCAAAATAAGAAAAGTCTTCAATGCTGTGTATGAGTTCTTAATTCTGGTGTCATATCTAACTTCACACTTGAGTTGTTACTTTCAATGCTAATTTGCCTCCATTTGGTGTTCTCTTGCAGACGATCGACATTGATTGCCGTAGCTGCGGTGATGCTTCTCCTTTCTGTTATTGGCCTTTGTATGTATATTTTACATTCCACTGGAGAATCTGAAGTTTTTAACAACTTCAGCATCTCACCTCATGATTTTTTTTTTCCAGTATGTTTCTCTACTTATTTTTTCCCCTAACTTATTGATATGTTTCTCTGCAGTGCTCTCTGTCCTTGGGCACCAACATGCAATTTTGATGTAAGTCTTGTGTTTATATCTGAATGTGAATATTATCCTTAGAACTTGGTGGCTTTTGTTGACTCTTCCGTCATACTATTGTAGATTCATCTTGAGTGGCTGGTTGCTTGTAGCAATTACATTCATCCTTTGTGGTATTTTTGTAATCCTCAACCAGTAAGTTTCTAACTTTAGACTGTCCTAAGGAAATTTTTTCCCCTTGTTGGCTTTTCTTTATGGAGTGAAAACTTTGTTGTCCTTAATTTCTCTTGAATCTCTGAGTATTTTCCAGTTTAAACTTCACTTCTAACTGATGTTGAACTACTTTTGTTACATAGTCAATAGTAATTGTTGGCTATGTTTTAGGTGTTCCCATCCCTTTTCAATTGACCATGGTTTAGAGTTTGTTCTACTAATCACTGATTAAGGGAGGAAAATTGCTATTTTCTAAACATATTTATGCTATTGTTGCCATGAATGAAATCATCATTATTATATTTCTGCTTGCTATCAATGAATTTCGCCAGTCTATTCTTCAAAATGATCTGAGCAGTTATGGATGTTGCTCTTTGTTTGATAGCTGCATATTGAGCCTATACATATTCTTTTGTTATATGTAGCATCCCCACAGCCTTTTATGCGGGTATTCTGTATATTAATTTTTCCTTTTGCTTCCTAAGATTGTCCATGAACCCTTTCCATGCATGGCATACATGTTTCCTATTCTTGTTACTCAAAGCTGTCTATTGTGGTGGGCATTTGGCACTTGTTTGAATGCTATTGCTGCTTATATATTTGCTTTCCTTGTTGGCAGAAATGTGACATTCATAACTAGTTATTTGTCTTACCAATGTTTTTTCCCTCAACAGCCTTCATTAACAAGAAACGAGTGCTGCTTTTATTGTCGTACTTATCTGTTAACTAGCTATTTTGAACCAGTAAAGGAAGTGCATAATGTTATTGAGTTCGACCTATAATCCTGACAATCTTTTCCCCCTCTCCTGGTGCATCTCAGTGCAATTTCAGACACTTGTGTGGCCATGGAAGAATGGGTGGACAATCCCCGAGCAGAGACAGCACTTAGCAGCATCCTCCCATGTGTTGATCAGGAAACTACTAACAAGACCCTCTTCCAGAGTAAACAAGTCATCCTTCAGATTGTGAATGTTGTCAACACAGCAATATACACTTTTGTTGACACAGATCCTCCTCCCGAGAGTACTTTTAATTACCGCAATCAAACTGGGCCTCTGATGCCACCTCTCTGTTCTCCATTTGATTCTGAGATGCATGATCGCCCATGTCAACCCCAGGAGGTTTCCATTGCGAATGCATCCTCGGTAAGTCTACAGCATTGACAAGAACATTTTTTTCAATGATTAACTGATGGATTGACATCAACATTTTCAAACCTGTAACCATGATTTAGAAACATCTCAAACCGATTTAACGATAAATGCCCAACACTCTACTGACAAGGAATAATTTGGGACCAAGAAAAAAATTCAAAGTCATGAACATCAACCTCTATGGTGACCTGATAGTGAAGGAAGAAAGAAAAAGAAAATGTTTGGACGGCATTCTATTCTCCTAAGGCTCAGTTTGGAAAGAGTACAAATACAAATTTGTAGAGTACAAAACCTTGTATTTTGTACTTTTTTGTATGTATTTGCACGGTGCATATTTGAATTCGTACTCCTTCCAAACTGAGCCCGAAGGAGTTCAGTTTTTAAGAACTAGCAGGTGCATTTATTGAATAAGAAAATTGTGGGAAACACCAACTAGGCATAACTAAAAACTGTAGGTTGACGGCTCCATGATGTTGATGCGATGTCCATGAAACCATTTACATGATCTTGGAAGTGGTTCCTCTTTCTTCTGGAAGGGAGAAAAGAATCATGATATTTAATTATTAATTTGTTTGCCTTGGAACCCGTCAAATAAAAGGCACAATTAGATAGTTTATTTTGATCGAAAATGCCGGATTGTTTCATTTATTTATTCATATTTTGTGAACTCATGAATGAGAAGCTTGATTATCTCCTTTCATCTGCTTGTGTAAAAAATTTCAGGTGTGGCAGAAGTACACTTGCACAGTCTCAGCATCTGGTTTATGTACTAGCGTGGGGAGGGTGACCCCTGAACTGTATGCAAAATTGGTAGCAGCCGTAAATGTGAGTTATGCCCTTGATCACTACGCCCCACCCTTGCTAAGCTTCCAGAATTGCAATTTCGTCCGGGAGACGTTCAGGAACATCACTTCCAACTACTGCTCTCCATTGGAGCATCACGTCCAGATGGTGAATGCAGGACTGGGGCTAATTGCAGTGGGAGTCATGCTGTGTCTCATGCTCTGGATACTCTATGCAAACCGCCCCAAAGGGAGGCAGTGTTTGTGAAATTTTACCTGCCAATAAGGTCTCGATGTTGTGGTTGAGGACGAGGCCGAATCAGCAACAATAACAACAGTAACAATGGCAGACATAATAGTAGAAATGTCCCTTCACCCTCAGATGGGGTCCTTGTATAAACCACACATGTTACAACAGCAACAGATACAAGTATAGGATTAGCTTCTAGGTTTACCCCTTTTAGCAGATCAAACCCAGGTGGGGCGAAGCACCATTTTTTGGGGTTTGGGGGTTACGAGTCATTTCTTGTATAGTTGGTTACAGAGTAATGTGATAAGAGATGTTAACAGAAATCTTCTGTTACCATACCATAATAAAAGCAAATCAAAAGCTTTGGTTCTCTATTTGGATCTGTTCCAGCTCTGGATCACTGAGTAGGCATGGGTCAGGACTGAGGAGTTGAATGAAACCCCAGCAAATAATGGTTCCGTTTCTGACTCGATCATTTGATCATCTCCTTTGTCATCACATGATCTCTCATGTATCTTTACCAGGGAAAGATCTCTCAGGTCTCCTTTGTGTTCTTAATTTAGACCATTCGATTAGAATTAGATTTCGTAATATATATATATATATATACTAAAATGGCAGATGATTTAGTATCAGCTAACTTGATCAGCATTTCTCAGATGACGACAGAGTGTCTGACCCTGTTAATGTCTAGAGACCTCCTATTCAGCTTGGAACGGTTGCCAACTAAACCAATTAATGGTTTGAGGGGGATGAATATGAACGATCAAAGCCTTGAATCAATCACTTTCTGGCCATACACATAACGCATGGCTCACATGAAAGTGTTCTGCAAAATCCCCTTTCAAAGAGTCCAGTAGTCCACCCACCTAACTTGATTTTGTGACTCGTTTTCAATCCGCCCCAATCTTGAATTATTTTATCTACTTTTGACTCGCTGAATAAATACGTGCACTAAAGAAGATGGACTGATAATCCCATTGCTGCCTTTATACCCGTTGAAGCAGAAGTCGATGGATGTCGATCTGATCCGGGAATCGATCTTACCTTGAATTTTGATTTTTTTTTTTTTTGAAAGCTAAATTGGTTCTTCGCTACAGACCCTACTTGTGGGGTCTGTAATCCCATCCCGTCCAGTGTTAGTCCATTAGAGACCAATCCAATATTGAATACTTGAACCATTCTGGACCGGTCAAATTCATTGTATGAACTGTCCAAATTGTTCAAATTGGTTTTAATTTAGATTGGATCCAACACAAACCTGGTCCATTGACACCTGTATTATTGTTATGTCAATGTATCGGATATCGGTTCAATCCAACCCAATCCAATATATATCCATTACAAATGGACCAGGCTGAATCCAATCCAATAAATACTATGACCATTAAGTCTGGACTGATTCAATTTAATGTCTTATTGTACCATCCAATCCATTTAAACTGATTTTGATTTGAACAGGGTCCAACCCAAACCTGGTCCATTGACAATACTGGGCGAATCATATTGAACCACATTCAGCTCCATGCACATGGGTACTTGGCATGTAGCCTGACGTGACTTGTGATTGGCCCAGTATAGTCGGGCCAGTTTGGGTCCAAGAGGGCAAGGGCGTGTTTGTTCTATCCCTCTCCAAGCCAACCTTACAAAGACTTTGTTCCGCAAGTTAAATTAACTTGTAGAGCTGTCAATGGGTCATGAATTATTAATTGGACCTATAAAATAGAGCTAGAACAAACCAATTATTAATCGGGAGATTCAGGTCTGATCCAATTAACATACCAACTGAGCCACCCCTCCCTCCTTTAAAGTCGGTAATTGTATGAATCGAATATGCGTCAATGCAGGAGCGAACCAGTTAACATACTAACTGAGCCAGCTCTCAGGATTCAGCTAACATACCAACCGGCTAAACATACAAATTGGAACTTCAGTTGCACATAGTATAGCGAAATCTGCTTGTACAATCCAAAGCAAGCAGACTTGGTCTATTGCTCCTAACTTCATTTGTGATGTTGATTCTGATTCTTCCATGAATGAATGGAGTTGCCTTGAATTGCTTAAAAAAAAAAAAGAAACTTCATTTTTAACAATATAACCTTAATAAAAACAATATTAATTAATAAAATATTTATATGTTGATAAAACAAGTCTTTTAACCAACAATATCTTACGTACTATCTAATTTACCCTTTCCGACATAAAATGTAACAAAACCCAAATGTGGTAGACCAGATAATTTGAACAGATAGCTCCCGTTTATAAAGCATATAAATCACAATAATGAATGTGGTAGACCAGATAATTAAGATCTGCCAATATGTATGGCTCAGTTTTTGGTTCGAGAAATTTCAAAAACCAAAGGATTGGTTCAGTTTAAGATAACCAAACCGTGAATACTCCTATCTACATATTCTCTAATATCCTAGTATTCCATGTATCGGTTATGTCAAAAATTAATACGTGTTGCATTGCAATAATTTGAACTGGTTTATCATATTATAAAATGGACATATCAAAAAAGCTTTATAAGTATAACCAGTTAAAAGGGGATTCCATCCCTCAATATAAAATATTAACAATTTGTATAGATTTTCATACACTCGTCAATGGGGAAAAAATTAAACAAAGAAAAACTTTGAAAATGCAATATATTTTACTGATTTGAAGGCTCGATCAATGATTTCAATGGAGCAAAATTATTTTTGGTACTAACATAAATACTTGCCCATACTCACACCGTTCCAATAGCCTCTTGCAACCTTGCAGCGGGAATATCTCCCAATGAAATAAAGCATATAAATAGGGGATATATATTTTTAATGCAAGACTGTAAAGGCTGCTTGAACGGCGTTACTCTGACAGAAGCTGAACTCTCAGGGGAAGGGAGGATGAGGGGGTATTGACAAATGACAGAGAGAAAATTTTCAACCTCAAGACACGCGAGTTTTGAGATCACTGTTCAAACAGTTTCCCCAAGGAAGATTTAGTTTTGGGTTAAAATTCAAAGATTTTGAACTTCCACCACATTCCTTGGATGGCCAAATATTCAGAAGCGAAAAAAATTGAAAAATAAATAATAGGCACCACCAAAGAAGTCTACAATAGAGTTGTTAAATCAACGGGTCAGGTTTGGTTCTTAGATAGTGATGATACGCATTTCGGCATTTCCTGGCTAGTAGGTGACTCGGATGCTTAGTTGAACAATCCCTACCTGAAATGTGGCTCGGATGCCTAGTTGAACAGTCCTAACCTAGAATGTGGCTTGGATGCCTAGCTGAACTGTCCCTATTTGGAATGTGGCTTGGACGCCTAGTTGAACTGTCCCTACCTAAAATCTGGCTTGGACGCCTAGCTGAATGGTTCCTACCTGGATTGTGGCAAGTTGTATAGCTTATTGGGGCGACTTGCAAGGAAATAGTGTCAAAGTGCCCGAGTTGCTTTATCCGAGGTGGGCACTCCGATGCGTAAGTCAGCGAGCTGGAGATTTTTTTGAGAGAATTAAAAGCGAGATAGAAAGCTGCCAGAGCTAAATTGTGCATCTACCTTCTAAGGTTGGAGGTAAGGCTTTTATATAGGCATTGTTTGGCGTGGGCATCACACACCGCATCCAAGATCTCTTGGAAGACATGCCTAACTAGTCCGAAATCCTTGGAAGTAGTCATGCATGTAGGCCAACCTTTGTGCCTTACTCGATTTCCTCTGAAACATTCGGTGTGAGAGCTGACTTTCGAGAGACCTGTGAGTGACAACATGCAAAGTTGGTCAGTGAGCATGTCTCACAGGTCACCACCTGGACTTCAATTAGGTTAGCAAGCCCTCAAGAGAGGTCTCTCTTCACGTCGAGGTCACTTCGGTTGGTACTGATGAGGTACCATAGGTCGGCCCTAGACGAGGCGCTGCTAGCCGTGTACGTTAGGGTGCCTGAGTTGTAGACGAGGTCGCCAGGTCGACGACAAAGGAAGGTTGTCAGGTTGGCAGCAAAGGCAGGTCGTCAAATCAGCAGCAGAGGTAGGTAGGTCGTCATTTGGGACTCCATCATTTTAATTAAGGCAAGTCATCACCTAGGTAATGTAAGGGTGTCATCCGGCTATTCTGAGATGCCATATGTTATGATGTCAGTGGAGGGCCAAATCTGACTTCATTAGATAGGGTTGACCAATCCAAAACCATTTACTAATTGGGATAATTGGGTCTAACCAGATTATACTTGGCATCTATAATTACCTATAACAATGATAACAATTTATAACTTCATTTCTGATAATATAACTTGAACAAAAATGATAATAAAATAATAAATTGTTTATATGTTGATAAACAAATGTCTTCAATCAAAATTATCTTATATACTGTGAAGATATAAAATATGACAATTTATGAAAAAAAAAACAAAAGACTTCTATATATTATTAAACAATATAATTGGTGCGGATGTTGATCATTTGGAATAACAAGAACCAATAACAACTATAAATTGGGACAAAACCACGAACTGACATAATCGATTTGGTTGATTTTGGATCTATCGGATACACCCAACCCATTAACAGCTCTAAGTATACAAAGCATATAAATCAAAGGCATTGAATGTGGTAGACCAGATAATTAAGATTAAGGTGTCTGCCAATATGTATGGTTTTGCTTTTTAAAAATAATGTGTTGCATTTACTATAACATCATTTGCCTCAACTTTATCTCTCAATTTTCTTTTTATATATATTTCTAGGCATATCTCTCAACAAGAATTGTAGGTGGATGAAGTTTGAATCACAAGGCCAATGCATTAACTATCAATGATGAATGGAGAGACTTATTTTGAAAAAGGCTAATCAAACCTTTTTTTTTTTTCTTTTTCTTTTTAAAGAGAAAGCATTTTATTCATACTCAGCGATAAGGTTTAAAATATCGATATACACGATATACATGTTTTGTGTTTCACACAATTCAAAAGGTTAGAGTTCTTTTTATTTTTTCAACATGAACTTGGTAGGAGGAGTTCTAATATTTAAACATAGGGTTCGACTATGATATGAAAAGGATATGGTATCTGAAAAACTTYTGATCAGTCAACTGGAATCATAAACATAGTATCCAATTAGGTGTTATTTATCAAAATTCATGAGTGAGTTTTGATTGATCAAAACTCTTCCTATACCATATCTTTTCTGCATCATAGATTTTCCCTTAAACATAAAGAACCTCCTAACTCTCTATATTTGACATTTTCATAAATTAAAAATTTGATACATGTAATATATACAATATGCACCAATACATTGTGATATTTTAAACTTTGTTCAACAACATTCTCCCTTAACAGGATATTTAGGGCGTTGACAAAAAACAATAAACCTTCAATGGGTCTCTCTCTCTCTACTCTCATTTTAGAGGTCTCCAAGGTCAAATATATCCCAATTTTTGTGGGTCAATTGATTTTATTTTTGAAAACAAAATCATACATATTTACCCATTGGCAACAACCCCTAAAATTGGGATATATTTAATTTGACCTTGGACACCTCTAAACTGGAAGTTGGGAGTTGAAACCCATCAACAGTTTGATTGGCCTATTCATTCAAAAAAACAAGTCTTTTACTGCTCCATCCATCATTGACAGTCACCCCACCACCCCCACAATTCTTGACTTGAGAGACAAGTGCCTATAATAAATAATAAATCTATAAATAAAGGAAAGAAGTGGATTCATATGATGTGATAATACGTTATTATTGTACTAGTAAAAGATATCTTCCTTGCATTAAAAGTGGATCACTTGTCCACTCTGATCAATTAGAACCACCCATTAAACTGGCCCCACTCAACCAATCATGTCCATTGAATGATATCAATCTCAATAAGCAGCCTACTTCGCGCCAGCAATTAAGTTGATCCTTCTATCCATCAGAAGATTGGGAATTTGGGATCATGGACTTGGCCCTGAAAGTCCTAGAAGATGGTCTTAAAATCAACATGGACCCACCAAATGCAAATGGACCCTCAAGATCAGAACAGTTTTTGTGCTATTGCACCAGTGGATAATGACTTGAGACAAAAGATGCGGGAAAATGAAGATAAGTTCCACTTCTCTTGTGTTACGACTTACGACCACAAAGGAGGCTTTTAACGGCAAAACCGGTGAAGGAAAAGGAATCGTGGCGGTCGTGGGCAGCGGCCTTGCCGTTAGAATCTCTCTTCATTTCTTTCTTCTCTCTCCGTACAAACTACGAACTACAAAGAGGGAGAAAAGAGAGAGGGAGAAGAAGGAACAGAGAGCATGAGGTTTAATACAAAAGCCTCGTAAAATATGTATAGAGAGAGAGAAAGAGAGATTGATTGTTTGGATCGGGTTTGTGTAACGATAACGGCGACACTCAATCTCTTGCTTCGTTGCAGAACAGAGATTTCGAAGAAACCCGTAGGGAGCTTTCTTCCCTTGGAGAAATCCGATTCCCTCCTTGTAAGTCCTTCCTATCTCCTTTACTTTTTTTCTCCCTGGTTTTCTTATGTATTAATATACCTGCTTTGATATCTGTTTCTTTAACGGTTTTGATTGATCAAGGTATCTCCTGTTCTCGCCTTTTCATCTGGGTTTCTTTTGGTTTTTACTTTCTCTCTGTTTCCCGTTATGGGTACTGTGTTTTTATTGTTTTGATGCGTTTTCGGGTTTTAAAGGTGTTTTCTGAGTTGGGTTTCAATAGTTTTCTTCTCCTTTTTGCGTTTGGTTGCTGGGTTTTCTGTTTCAAAGGATGTTTTAATCAAAGCATTTTATATCGATAAAGGTACCTTTTATTTTTCAGATTTCTCCTTTTGCCTTCGTTCCGACTTTATTTTTCGGTTTCCTTTTTGTTTTGAGGGACACTTTCTGATTGTGGATGCAATTTTGTTTTGTCTGGTACGTTCACCACCTTTTGTTGTTTTCTTCCTCCACAACTCTCCCTTTCCTTTTATTCCTCCCTCCGTTCATGTTGGGTTTTCAATGTTCTAATGCAATTTCATTCCCGCTTTTTTTCCTTTACTGTTTAAGGTAACCACTATTCTTTCGCTTTTCATTTATATGCTTCATGAAATTTTGTTTGTTTTGTTCTTCCATTTGTCAAGTTCTTATTCTGGTTGCAGGTCCATCACTGGTTTTGACTAGTAAAGAGGTCCTTTTTCCTTTCTTTCTCGCGTGGTTTGGACGGTATTCAATCTCTGTTTGCAAGAATTTGGTCAAGGAAAGAGGTTGCAGAGAGGGGTTTGTAATTTTTACTTTTTCTCTTCTCATTCCTTGATTGTTATTTGAGGATGGGGGATCATTTCGTGTTACTGGTGGATCGGTTGCTTACTGAATCCACACTAGAAGCTGCGATCGAGAGCAGAAACCGATCTTTGCATTCCACACCCTCAGCAGTTGAAGACATGACAACCCAATTCTCTCCAGATAAGATGGACACAAGTCACGGATCATCTCCTAGGAAATTGGTGGAGTGCAGAATTTGCCAGGATGAGGATGTAGATTCAAATATGGAAACACCCTGCGCTTGCTGTGGCAGCTTGAAGGTTAGTCAGGCTTCAATTTGCATAATTTGTTTGCCAGTTGGGCTTCATTTGCTTGTTGCTTTTTGTTTTTTATGCTACTTCATTTAGTTCCTAAGCTCATGCTGTTATATCATTGTTGCTTCTTATTTTCTCAAGTATTCTTCATTTGAAAGCTTCTATTTATTCCAATTTGTTCATCTTTGTTTATTTTTTGTGCTAAATTAACCTTGTTTTACTTAGTCAAGGTTGTTTGAATGGTTAAATTTCCTACTAGAGGTCTTGCCTAAACATTACGATTAAAGCTGAATTATTTCTTATGCGTTTAGCTTTGGTTTAGATGTTTCAATACTGAGGAGTGAGGACCATTTGAATTCGACAAGTTTTGGGCAAACTTCCAGTCTTCTCTTGGTCAAAGCTTTTACCTATTAGATTATAGATTATTGTTTATAATATGCAAACATTATATTATCTGACTTTTTGGCTTTCATGTTTTCTAATATGATGCGACCAAAATGTATATGCATGTGTTCTTTGTAGCTTAAAATTAGAATTTTAAAGTAGTAGCAATGGAACTCAACCTGGAAGATCGGGATAATTAGACTTTGTTCATCCTATGGGCTAAGATGCAACTTGTCACCTACACGTGTTCTTTGAAGCATCTTCTTTTTTCCATACAAATTTTGTATATGGTCAAGTTGATTAATTCTATTTTCTGGAACGTTTAAATATTGAAATTCAGAATTTATTTGTCTAATCATAATCTTCTGGGCAGTAACATATTAATTAATTTTTCATATTAATTAGTTGAGCACTTGAGCTCTTTTCTTTTCTTTTTTTTTCTTTTTCTTTTCCATGCACTGACATTTATCTTTTTTCTGTTTTACTCTAATCTTAATTTCTCCTTGGGGATTATATATGAAGCTACTGTAATCTCATCTACCTCTTAATTGTTACAGTATGCTCACCGTCGATGCATCCAAAGGTGGTGTAATGAGAAGGGTGATACCATGTGTGAGATTTGCCACCAGGTGTGTGATTGGCTTCACAGTGATGCCTTCAATCTGTTCAACTTGTTTTCATCCTTCTGTGATTACCAATCTTATTTATTCATATGATTATCTTTTATAAGACTCTTCTTAGTTTGTCTAAGTCATTAGTTACTTTAACCTCTCTAAGATCAGATTTTAGCAGCAAAGTTTTCCTTAGCAAAATAATAAATGTTTACTGGTTTATTGTCTTCTTCCTCGTTGTATATTATGAGATTTCAGCAATTCAAACCAGGTTATACAGCACCACCTCAATTGTTTCGGTACGGAGGTATTCCAATGAACTTCAGGTATTGTGAGCTAATATTCTTTTTAGTTACAATTTTCCTATTGCCGATCATGGACCTATGTCATATCCTTTTACCAGGACATTTAAAAATGTGCTTCTGATGTTTCTGACAGGGGGAATTGGGAGATTTCCAGAAGGGACCTGCATAATCCTCAATTCATAGCAATGGTTGCAACAGATCGTGATTTCCTGGATCCTGACTATGACGAGTATACAGTTTCCACTTCTAGAAGCTTGATGTGCTGCCGCATAGTGGCTATAATTGTACTCTCTCTCTCTCTCTCTCCATATATTGATAGATATAGATATATACAGGTTCATGTTAGCAAACAGCTAAAGCTACTATTGCAAAACACATGTAACAGAGGGAACAATGTGTCCAATCTTAACTCTCCATCAAATAGAAAATCCTCCAGATCTGCAGTACTTTCAGTTCAGTTGTCCACATCAGCTCTATATCCCAACTTTTACTAGCATATTCCCCACTGGTATTAATCAACAGAAAGTATGAAGTTGCTAGTAAAAAGGATTAATTCTAGATAGGGGGCAAGGGTTTTAGATAGAGCCATAGAGGATGGCTAGAGGAACTGGGGGCCCTTTTGGACCCCTGCCATCTTGTTGCATGAAAGATCCCTGTATAGCTTAGACATCACTCAGTGGCACTGTGGCACGACTAGATTACTCACTTCCTTTCAATCCACCGGGTTCTGCCATGTCAAGGGATGAAGCGGCAAATCAAAACTGTCCAGATTGGGGATCCTGTGAATTCACTTTCTCAATCCAAAATTTTGACTTTTTAAATCTAGAACGCAAATAAGAATAGGGCCTCATTGGATATGTGACGGAGGCTTCTTGGAAAATATTTTTACAATCCCCTTATTCCTGAGCAATTGAGAGTTATTGTCTAAGCAACCCAGCTGACATGCCTATTCTCAATCCCATGTATGTGCTGCTACTTGTGTTCATCCTACTTTATCTGACATAGTGGTTCTTGTTCTGATTGGTTCATCCTAATTCTCTAGAGCTGCTACTTACTTGTATTCTCTTCTCATTTCTTTTTCATTTGCAGTTCATGGTCCTTCTGGTTCTACGACATACCCTTCCCATCGTACTAAGTGGGATAGAGGAGTGCTCGTTCCCATTGTTCATGGTAAGGCTGGCTGGTCATCATTTCTATTAGTAGAACTATTGAAAACCATTCCCATATGATGATATACCAATTCTATCACTCCATCATTTATACTACTTACATCTGACAGTTGTTACTATTGAGAAGTGTGGGAATTCTTCTTCCAATCTATATAATGGTGAAAGCAGTGACTGCTTTACAACGCCGTCGCCAACAACAGGTAGCAAAAATCTTCTCTCTTCCCAGATTAAGGCCCCGTTTGGCATGTCTTTTTGTGTGGTCTTTCGGCTGTTTATAAGCCGGGCAGACTGCGTCATGGTCTTATTCCGTTTGGTTTGTAACAGATCTAGCCACCAAAAGTTGGTGTACCAAAAAGATGCGAGAAGCTCATTTTGGGCTGATTTCGGGAAGCAAGCTCCAAATGGAGCTTTTTGCATCTTTCTCACACTCTCGTGCGGTAGCCAAACTAGCTTCAGGCTGCTCAGATCTTCATGCAAAAGCTCAATGCGTCTTTTCAAAAAAACTTGCCAACCACCACCACACACTAATCAACTTAATTTTTTTGGCTTGTAGGAGATTCCTACCTTGATTACTACATCTGAAGGAGAAAATCAGCAGCCACAACTGCAGCCTCATGCGCATCTCATTCGTGTGCACTAAACTGCTTCATTGGTAGAACTTCAAACAAACTGATGACAAGTGGTAATGGATAGTATCTGATGATCGTCAGCTACTCAGGAAAGCTCCTGCTTAGTTGGCCTCATTAATTATTTGAGAAGGGACAACAATTGTCATCAGCTACTACCAATTATCTGATGAGAAATGGAGAATTGTGGGTAGATGCCTTGTAAAAAATGCATACCATGATAAAGAAAGCATCTTGCGTGGTGTCTGAGATCAAACCAGTCGGCAATCCCTAAGCAAATGAGTTTCAGTTATAATGTAACTAGCTTTTTAGATGTATGATGTCTTCAGATGACACCATCTGAAAAATACATGTATAGAAAGGAATTGTATATATTAATATTGCTTAAAAAATATTAATCAAGCAATCAAAGATGAAAATATGGTTGGGTATGGATATTCTGTGATGTTAATATCAGAACTATACTTATAACCTATGGAGATATTGGTGTGGATATTAGATCGACTTTGGTTCAAAGTTAAATGTTTAGCAAGGTCCACAAAATTTAGGTGAAACAGAATGCCCATCTAATTGTCTATGTTGACCGCTTCATCTATCACTCTAAGATCAATTGTTGATTTAATTTGGGTAAAACTTCAATTGTTGATTAATTGTTTGTTTTGAAAATGGATTAGATTGAATTAGACCACAATCTTATCTTTCAGTAAATAAGTATATATGATTAAAATCTATCATACTGGGTTTAATATTTTAGTTAAATGATAAGTATCCAACCAGATTAACATCTTAGAAAAATGGAAATTTGTTAATTGCTTGATGTCCTTGACAATGGGTTCCTGTAATTCAGCCACATTATAAATGGCATGAATGAAAATGAAAGCAAAGCTTGGGATATACCAAGCCACTATTGCTTAACTTTTAAATTTTCCCTTCTTTTTGTCGTTTTTCCTTTTTTCTGTTATTGTTCTTTAGGTGGGGAAACGAAAAAAAAAACATATTGAATTCTTACCATTAATGTGTTTCTTCCTTAATGGATGCCTAGTCACCGTGGAGCTCTAACCTTTCTTTCTATACCCAGTGGCGTAAAAACAAGGGAAAGTAACCAGACCCGGTAGCTAATTTTAGTTGTTTTGAAAACACAGTGGTGGGTGATCAAATGCCACTTACGTCACTGACGTGATAGATCTTTGGGTGCTTCGGACCATGACAGAGATGATGATGTGGACCAATGTCAACTCCTGGTGACTTTAATTAGTGCACGTTACCAGCAGGCAGCAGCAACATGTAGGACCAAGATAATGAAATCTGTACCTTCGACTCAGTTCGTTTTGCCACAGTTTTGCATGAAATATTCAGGATTATCGTGGTCGGCTTTTGAAAAGATGTCCACTAAAATTTGCTCTTTCATGCCAATTTTGGTGCATCCCAAAATATCTTTGTTCATCTGCATCAAATTGCTCCAGTACTGAAGTCTGAACAAATCCATGATAAATGACATTTAACCACCTTCAACTTTATATTCCCAGTTTTTGATAAGGAATATATAACAATCAAATACCAGATGACCCGATACAATGATTAGAAAAGCATCATCGTTCATCTTCTATGAGATCTCACCTGACCTGGGCTGTCAACCGAAACCTAGATAGGATAGGGATCGAGTGTTCAGCTCTAAACCAAATTCTTTTGGTCTTACAGTCTTTTTTGTACCTTCTTCTAGGTGCAGGTGGGGGGACCTAAACACTGTTGATTTCAATCTTCTTGTCTTCATTGGATGGTTACTCATCCTTGATGAGCTCCTTGCTTTATATTTTTTTTTTAGACACAGGCCCAAAACAATCAAAACCGGTAAGAACCCATGGAGGCTGTGAGCTAATTTAATTAATTGTTGTAGGCAAAAGTTCCATCTTAATCCAGAGTCTGTCTTTTCAGATGCCATTAGTGTCGGTGAACAATAAGATTTAAAAGGTTAAGTCAGTCTTGGAAGATTGAAAATTAAGACCGACATATGACATGAGACCAAGACAACGAAATTATTGATTATTCTTTGACTGTAATCTTGGTCTCTGGTTTTGGATAACCGCCCAAAAATTGTCATATTTGTGTTGCCATCTGCAGACAGTTGAAGCGAAGCATATCATCTGTTAAGTAGTACTTGGTTTATGTTGGTGCATCGTGCACCAGATTTTGATGTTTATTCAGCTAGCTCCCCAAAAACTCTCACTGATTATTACAGAGAATCAATAGTTAAAAGAAGGGTTTTGGCGTCATTGATTGTGTCGCTTACAGATTCTCTCTCTCACACACACACCCACATTAAACTACTAAAACAACAGAGTCCAGCAATGAAAGTTGGTAACTGCTCTCGATTTGTAATGTGACGAGCATCAAAAGCCCATTGAAGTTGCCAAGTTGTAGCAAAGGTTTGGGATCGAATCCCACCTTCACCAGGGGTTTGGGGAATGGCTACCCCGTTGTATAGCCACATGAACAACACTCCCCTTATTGACATTTTAAACCTTGTTTGGAAGGAGCCTAAATCAAAATTGACATAAAACCCCACTCTGGTTTAGATTTATCGGCATTTGAATGGAGTGGAGTTTTATGTCTTAAATTGATATAAAACCTCATCAAAAGTACATTGGTTATCAATGTACATACTATATTGATAAAATCGATGCAAAACTATCTTTTGAATTCACGCTTTTTGAAGTTAACAATCACTTTTTACGGTTCAGTGTAAAACATCATCGATATACTTTTACACTGATGAGGTTCTACATTAATTCCAAAGGCAGCCTAATGTATTGTGATTAACAAATACGAACTCGCCTGGTAGATAATACTGCACCATGATTATGCACATGGATACAATGGGAAGGTATGGTTAGGTTTCAGATACATTGGAAACTCTTATAAATCCCACAAAAACATCAATAACATTGAATCTAAAGTTGAATAGCTATAAACAGGCATAAACATATAACAAATGCACACTTTCATAATTTATATGAAGAGATAAATTACAATAGACAATACTAGGAGCCCAGAACAATGTTTGAGCTTCTAATATACTAAATTTCATTATAAGAAACATTAATTATTGTTAAATTAATGAATTTGGTAGATCATTGATACATTTTATAATTCTTCCTTACCATGGAAATAAATTAATTTTTCTAATTTTTGAAATTTTCCTAAAAAAATTAAGAAAACTTCATTTTTGACATAAATTATTGTTAGACCATTGTGCCTACTAGATCATCGATGGACTCATCCTCTTTCCTGCAATAAAAATCATTTAAAATATCTAAAAACAAGATTGGACCATTAGAATTTGGATGTCCTCACAGCCCTTGCAGCCACTGCTTGTATGTTTTTATTCATGGGAAAATGTTCCCAATGCACGACTGGAAATTCTGCGAGGTGGGTGTGAGGACCAATTTTAAGAGGAAATCAGATTCAATTAGATATATGTTGATAGTCCAAGCTTTCAGGACAGCCTATAAAAACTGTCAAAAAAGTTTAAAGGAATATTAATAGCAAATTGTTGACCAATGCCAGTGTATCAGCCATATCATATCAATAATTTGAACCTTGATCATAAACTTTAATTCCCATGTTAATGTAACAAGAAGCAAAAATTCACTGTGTGAGGTCTAATGGCTAACAGTAGCAATCTCTCTTACAAGTTACAAGGTTTGCAAAGTTAAATGAAGGCAAGCAATGTATAAAAGATAACTAAATGAAAGAGAAAGTTACCACAATCTTAGTTGACTGGCAATTTTGGAATTATGATTATGAAATGCTAACGAGAAAAATCATGGTTACGAAGTGCATATGTACATGCCATTAACTAGTAAAAGAAAAAGGAATAATAAGTCTGTAGGTGGAGCTCGAGCAGGCAGTATGTGGCTTCAGTTAAACCTTATGTGTATTAAGATAAGAGCCCAGAGGAACCACGCTATGCACCTTAATGGCAATGCCTGGATTGATCCGGAATAATCCCAACTTCACTTCCTCCTTGGCCTGAAATGCGGGATGAAGAAAAAGAAAACTATCAAACCTTCAATGAAACTTAACAAACCTGAAACCCACTAATTTCATTTTTCTTTTCACTTAAAAGGTTTTGAAAAAGATCACTTATATGATTACACTCATACTAATCATATATTCTTTAATAAGTGTGGTTGGTGTAAGTACTTCCGGTTCTTCTGGTGGGAACGCCAGAACCAAGCAAGCGCTCCAAATGCACAACTGGCAACAGCAATTGCCAAAGCAGCTCCAACAGGCACGGCAACTGCATTCGTCGAGGCCACCATATCATCAACTAAAGAATTCTTGCTCCCGTTAAGCCCAAGGAGAACCTTGTCTTTGTACGAAGATACAAGCATATTTCCATAATAGCCAACCAAGAACTTGGACACCTCATCTAAGTTCCATTCAGTCTGACTGGTGCCATCATCTTTCTTTCTTATGGGGTGATAGCAAGATGGGCAGAGCTGCTTTGGTGGCCAAATCATCTTTGGGAATTTTGGGTCACCTGTTCCCATAGATGCCTCTTCCTTTTTTAGCCTCTTGTTTACTTTGTTGTGTGCCTCCCATAACCACAGGACAAAATCACTTGTCTTATTGAAGGGACGAGAAACACTGCAAGGGAGTAAAATCCAAATGAGAACCTTCAAGGGATCATGGAGAATGTGAAGGCTACAACTTACAGATAGTTCAGGCACCCTCACGTTGAACACATGTCGTAGAAATGCTTGCGGCACTCCTCGCAAATGAAAAAGTTGTGAATGAAATCACATATTGCTGTAAATGCCAAGTGGCTTTCTCCATCTTCCAGCCTTACAGAGAGCGAATGTAATAGAATCCATAACCCACAGCTGCACAAAAAAAGGAACACTTGAGCCAAAGATAAACTACAGCATATAATGAAAAAATGTTTATTGTCTCTCAAAGATCATACCATTTCTTTCTTCCAAATAGACCAATCATACAAAATGAAGTGCCACAGGCACAATAATAGGACCTCCACGTGTAAAAGTTTAAGCCTCAAGGATGAGGCTTAAGCCTCAACACCTCATCTTTTGTAAATAAACATAAATTAAAATGACAAGTGTCAAAATTTTCATAGAATTATATTCTCATGTACAAAAAATATATAAATAATTTATCTATCACATAAGCAAATAAGATATAAAAATGCATCAGTTAATATCTTTATTTAATTACATGTTAAAAACAGGAAAAAAAAAAACTTTTATTCATCCATTTATATAGGGGTGCAACTCAGGCAGGTTGGGTAAGGTTTAAGGTCAACCCAGGCCCAACCATAAAGGTGCAATACTGGGCTTGGCCTGGCCCAACCAGAGGTTAAGACCAACCCAGGCCCAACACAACTTGGGTTGGACTCGGGCTCGGACTGGGCCAGGCTGGATTAGTCAGGCTAGGACGGGTTGGTCAGGTTTGAAATAATTTATGTATATATTTTTCAAAAAAAAAATTTATGTATATATTTTTGCATAATCATTTTTTATTGGACTTTATGGTCCAATTAAAGAGTAGAATTGATTGGGTCGGGTTTAGGATGGATTGGGCCAAGCTCACGCTACCCAAGGCCTCAACCCAAGCCCAATCCAAGTTTAGGTTGAGCCTGAGTTTTCAGGCCCAAGCCCAGCCCACAACCCAAAACCTTAGGCCCAACCCATGCAAAAACTCGGGTTGGACCCACCCACATTGCACCCCAACATTTAAATCAAAAGGTCACAGAAGTCACAGATTTCAATTCCAACAAAATGTTACAAAGAACATGTAGGATAAGGTAGGATTTTGGGTGAAGGGTGGGTTTTTGGTGATCAATGAGAATAGGGATCGACAAACAAGTAGACAGCTTGCCATCCATCAAAGAATGAACAAGAGATTAGAAAGAAGAAAACTATGGCTGTCAAAGTTAACAGTAAAGAGGTAGAGAACACTTGGAAGAAGAAAAAGGTAAGAAAGAAAAAAACAAGAAAAGTTCATGGCAACAACCAGTATTTACAAGACTAAACTTTATTTCATCAAAAACAATAGTGGCTATTTATTAACTCACCAATTAAGAACTCATGCTTTTTTACAGATTCCAATTGAAAACTGACCCAAAACAACATCCAAGCATTTCAAAAACTAGGGCAAACCATAGATATCTCATAAGCATTAATTTAAACAAGGATTCTACAGCCCTAAATCTACCCCTCTACTTGTACCACCTGGATTTCCATTGCTAGATACTATTGCAGTGATAAAGCCCTTAATCCAATAATAGCTTTCCAGAAGTCCTCAAGGGAAACTGAGAAAGCAAGGAAACAAAGACTCAAAGCCTTCCAATTCCTTGAAGACTCAATTCCAATTGCTTTCCAGAAATCCAATAGACTATTTGCAGTAGAGTAACCAGCTTGTCCCTTCCCCTCCTGAGGTGCCTCGATTATTACCATGTCTTCCTACAAAGCCTCCCAACTCCATAGAAGATACCCCACCCTTCCCTACCAGAGCATGACAGCATGATGTTGCCTGTGTTCCTCATTGATTCTACAAGGGCTAAGCAATTAGGTATTTATTCAAGAAAGGGATAGCATGAACTAAGTAAGAACTCAAGGAGTTGCCCAACATAAGGAAAAATTAATGACAGCAACATAATTCAACTAGGATAGTTCTCACCACATTGCCAGTTGCATAATTGACGTCCAAATTCAACACAGTCAAGTTTTCTCAAGCCAGATAATAATCTTTATCAAAAGAAAAAAAGCCAGAGAATAATGTTGGAGATCCTAAAAGGCCCCTCAATATGCTGCTGGAAGGTCAAAATAGGATTTAGAATTATTATTTATCCCTTAATTTTATCTTGTCATTTGTGGGCAGTAAGGGGATTTTGGTCATAGCATAAGTGCAAATATTGGGAAGGATGAATGAAAAAACTAGAAAGGATAAGATCTGAAATGAATGTATCTATAGGAACTTGGGACCAATAGGTGATAAAAAGTGGGAAAGTAGACAAAGATGGTTTGATCTACACACCAGTGACTCGTGGTTTAAAATGTTGACATATTTCCTAATATTCCCATGACATGTTTTCCATTTTCATAGGTGCCAACACAAAATATTACTGGAATCAACATATTCCCCAATGTAAAATACAGACTATTTAGAGTATATGAGATGGTATTGTAACATGATGAGTTGGAAAAAATATTATAGATAAGTGGAATAGAAGTATTATCGCTTGCCTAATGGACATGATGACCACTTTGAGAAATCTCAAAATTCTTTTTGGACATGACGCCATATATTAACTTTTGTTTGTATAATAGATTATTTGGTTGATCTATTAGAAGCATTTGCACTTCCTGTGAGTTTAAGTTTTGTTCCAACTTACTCTATTTGCAGTTTAACACTTAAAAAGTCTACAGGACAACACAGACAAGGAACATGGCAACAGATAGACGACAAGGGGAACCAAACAACTAGAAGGCAAATGGTGGTGTCAGAGTCAGACTCTCAGTTGCTTGGATACAGGATACCAAGATCAGATGGCAAGATGACACCGAGTGGACGCAAATTCATTAAATAATTTTTTAATAAAATCAGCTTGCTTACAACATTGCAAACCTTGAGTTATAATGTTGACTGGACTTCTAATAAAGGGTTCATGGTCATGACACATGAAAATATTGCAAATGCATGCACATTATGATTCAAGGCTGTTGAGAATATAAAAATCTAGGGCTGATAAAAAAAAAGAACACAAAAATCTAGTCAATCTAAGAACCTTGATCCTACCATATCACTGCAAGGAGCTAAAAGGCCAACCTGAAGTGAAGAGTTTCACTTCATTGGTGCCTGTAGAGCCTAAAGGTGGAAGAGATAGAACTTTTCATTGGAGGAAGAAGGTTTGATTGCAGATCATAACAAACAAAATATGGAGAATATAAAACTGATAACAGCTTTTAATTTATTAATAGTAGAATATAGAGAAGAGCCAGGCCTTACCAGAAAAGTAGGCTTTGCCAAAAAAGTACAAAAGGGACAATAACAAAAATGACAAGCAATCACCTCAAAACCAAAAAACACAAGAATAGAAATTAGTAGCAGTGCAACTAACAATATATGCATACTCTTAATATGGGAGCTCAGAACCCCAGGTCAGCTCCCTCCTAAGCACTCCATTCTTATTAATAAACCTCCAAGAGAGTTAGCCAACCTAGGAAACCAGTTGAACGAGGTGTTCAATCAGTAAATTTACTGAATGGCGGCAACTGCAATGGTCGAGCTTATCTATTGGAAAATTTCCAATTTTTGACAACAGCAAAAAGTTAGTTTCAGGAAAGCTGGAGAAAAGAAACTAGTGCATTACTAGCCTAAGATGAAAAGAGAAAAATATCTGCTTGACTGTTTGCATCAAATTATAAACCACTGGATTCTATCCACTCTTTTGAAAAAAGAAAAATACTTCTTTGTAAATAATATACATAGCATTTCTCCTGCTCCCTAAAATTTCAAATTTAACCAGAGTAGCGTATCCAAGGTCTTAAGAGTGTTCTTACCAAGAATCTTTTTACAAATTATTAGTGAATGATGCATTTTGTTGAAATAGAACAGGGCAACAATAATGCAAGAGTGGAAGGAAAAGTATTGAAGAAGGCACCAATCACCACAAAGGGATATCGACATTTTGCTTTTTTTTTCTCTGGGAGAAAGGTGATCAAGGGGATCAGGATGGCAGGTCTTCCAAAAAACTTTTCTGAAGTTTTCAAAATAAGAAAATGGAAATTGCACCTAGTGGACAGTTTGTCCCATTTTCCACAATGTGGTGGTCCCATAAAACACAGAAAACATAAAAGAAAAAATATCAAGGTTTCTAGCACCCCCCCTACACACAAGATAGTACGAGGGGGATGTTTATCACATGTACAGAAAGGGAAAGTGGTGCAAATACAATTCAGAAGACCACTCCAATGATAACCAGTTTCAGTTCCATTAAGCCGCCTCTATCTTATCATCCAACAGTTTGGATTGAACTGGATCTTTGATACATGATGGTTCTGTGAGTCTACCTGTGTCTAAAATTTCAGATCAATCAGAGAAACTAAGGCTGTGTTTGGAATTTGGATTGATGGAAAATAAGAGAGAAAAAGAAAGTTAAGGGAAAGTTCTTAACAAAACATAGCCTAAAGGATTGTTATCTGGCAATTGAAATGAAGTTGATTTCAGCAAACTGCCTGTAATATGTATCCAGCTCAAAGTCAAATTTTGACCTTTCACCAAGGGGCCCCCCTCTGGATTGTGTCACCCAAGATATTGAAGTCTGTTGGTGTTCTTTTCTTTGATTTAACTTGAGTTTAGTTGGGTGAAAAAAAAGGTCCAATAAATTTTTGTCTTGGAACTATACAGATTTTTGGAGTAATTTTTGGTATTTACACGCATATTTTGTATTTAGAAGGTTACTTTTTTTCAAAGAGTAAAAAGGAAATTTCATTAATCATAAGAAAAAATTACAGTCCAAGAGGTGACAAGATGGCACCTCACCATACATAACAGATTTGGAACTACAAACTGAAAACTGAGATGTATTTAGAAGGTTACTCAATTTCAGGTCTTAAATAAAGTGATGTTAACATGAATAGTGATGGAAACTTGTTCTATCTTCGTGTGTGAATTTTGTCCCAGAAGGCCTATTATCTACTGTTCTACTTAGTTTACTCTCTTCTCATTTCTTGATCAATTGTGGCTGCCATTACTACATTTTCTTTTTGTTTTATGCCTTGACCTTATGTTAGAATGTTACCATAGAAAAGGCCATTACCCAATGGCAAATGCTGGATTCAGCTATGCAGGGTCTTGGGAGAGGTGGACTGGGTATGGACCTAACCTCTGATACCTTTTACATGAAGTAGAAAACTCATCTATTGCTGAATTTAAGTTCTAGAGGATCCATTTGTCTACATGTTCACTTTTTTGTATCTAGTTTACTTTTTTAAGTTTTGTGAATCCCCATACTCTGTATAGTCACTACTGTATTGGGAGTTTCTCTCAAAAAACAGAAAAAGAAAAAAAAAAAGATTTATCTAATCCGAAATTAAATATTAAAAAGGATTTATTAATGTCATTATGATAGCATTCCAGTCTCCATGGACCACTCCTGCTCTCTGACTCCAACTGGATCAAGTACCTCAACAGCCAATTAAGTGACGTGTCACTGCTTGAAATTCCAAGCACCAGCAACACTATCTGTGAATTCATTAACTGTCAAACATAAGGATCAGAATGAAACATTAAAGGAAAACCATAAGCAGCTGACTTCTTTAAGAATATATAAGATAGCTCCTAAAGGTTATATTCCTCTATGAAGGATGAGAATAGGAAGTGGGGCTTCAATGACAGCTACGTTTAGTGCAATGAGATTCATTTGAAGGAAACCTTGTGTGTGTGTGTGTGTGTTTGATAAGTAACAGAAATTTCATGAAAGAGATTTTAATGTACTTACATTATGAATTTATGCAGAACTAAGCCTCTCCCAGATTTCAGTTATAACTTTGCCCAAAACATTTGATTCCTCATAACCCTTTGCTTGGCTAGTGTGTTGGCCATAGAATTGACTGATCTATGAACAGGAAACCCTGTTTATTTGCTAATTGATAATCTGAGAGGAATTTCAATTATCATGAATACTTCAAAGAATTTGCAAGGATACGTGCTCATTGACAACGGAATCAGCTTCAATTCTTAAAGTATTTAAGTATTTAAGATTATTAGAGTTGTGGAACATTAGTTCTCGTTTTTTTAACATTTGTACATGTGGATGCATATCTATGGAGAATGCCCCATCCTCTATTCTTGTACACTTCAGTTTTCATACATTTCAATGAAATTTCCAGCTATCAAAAAGAAAATGCCACTAGTTAAAACCAACTGAACTGTGCATCTTACACTTTCTCTATGGAAAATGCACCAAAAGATATTAATGAATATATGATGTCTAGAGCAAATGGATTGACAACTGAATAACTTAAGTAAAAGTTCAAATCAAATGGCATAAGAAAGTTTCACAGTGACAGCTCCAAAATATTATTATATGATAAAATGAAAAAAAAAATGGAACATTATTACCTAAAGCCCCTTGTGTCATTCTTGCTGCCACGACAAAAGATCTGGTATATAAGACCAATTTGGCTGGAAAGAGTCAGATATTTCTCACTAACCAAAATCAGGCATGAGCTTATAATGAGTAATAAATGTGAAAGAAAACAAGGAAAAATAAGCAACCTCTAAGAAATGGAATTCAAGGCAGATCTGTAACATCTACTAAATCAACTCATTTAGAACTCATCTAAGTGACAAGGTAAGAACAAACAATGAACTGATCACGCATCATATCCCAAAACTATTTAATCAATGTGATAAGGTGGAACTGAAGAAGGAAGACCTAGACCTAGAACCAGACAAATTGACCAAGGAAAGGAAGTATGGAACTTAATCATTTTTGGCAGTTATTATGAGCAATAGGAGAGGGAAGAAGGCCCTGGATCTTTTACACCTAAAATACAAGCCACCTCTCCCAAATGGAAGTGTACAGCTGTGTTGTGACTCCCCCATATCTGTTGGATACCAAAGAGGTTGATGGTACCCATTGGAATTTTAAAATTTTTTGTTCTTTTTTAGAATTGGTAATGAAAACTTATTGGAAATGAAGAATATACAATTAAGTATAAAGAAAAGAGAGGAGGCAAGGAAAAAATAAAAATGGCCCCCAACTAGCAACTACCAAAAGGAGGTTTAAATGCCCCATATATGCACGATAAGCCCAAACTATGCAACTGCCTTAATCCAAGAACAATGACATTAAACAAAAGGAAGATCTGACAGAACCAACATGTCTCAAAACAAACCACCCACCAACTGGGAACCAACCTTAATAAAAAAACTCATAAACCATCCAACCCATGCTTCAACCCTACCATCGAATCTCATACTATTGAATGCAGGATTTCCCCCATTCCAACATGTCTCATCCTCTTGTTGCCCATGCTTGCCTCTTCCTCTCCCTCTCCACCAATCACCCTTGAGAAAGATATTACACATTTAAAGCTGTTTAAAGGTCAAATGAATTTGGTCGTTAAACACTGAAGAATAGGGTTAACTTGAAGAGTGAACTTAATGGTATTATCATGATGAAAGACAGGATATGCCCCTAAATACAGTGGAATGACAACAGTATGTGTAGTCGACCCAATCTAGATGTCAGTTGAGTATTAACATGCACATGTTTAGCTCAATATCAAAAGAATTTCTGTTGGAAATTCAGATCAGATGGGCCATACAGCATTTCCTGTTTATAATGTCCATTTTATCTTTTCTTTAATTAAAACAAAAATGGAACTCATTTTATTAGCAATAAATCCATCAATGGTAAACCTTCTAACTTAATTTGAAATTCCTGTGTAATGAGCGAGCTTCCTACTATTCATGATTAATTGTACCAATCTGCAAGCACCCTTTACTTACACAAACAGCTGTTAAATCCTCTACTTTTTTTTGATAAATGAATAATGATTTTATTAATAAGAGAAGGATGTGTACATTCACCCTAAGACAAGGCACAAGATGTTACCACCCCTTAGAGATGAGAGCACAACCATAATTTTAACAGGATACAATCATAAGGTCCAAAATAATTCAACCCTTGATACCCCTTGTTTAGCCAAAGAATCATCCATAGCATAATTGGTGCTTTCAGAGATCATGCTGCTTCCATTCTCTTGAGTTCTTTGGGGTCCATTGGAGAAGGGAAACCTCTCAGATCAGAACTGCTAGTTGTCTTGCAAGACTTAAAATTGGAATACTTCTAAGGTTGGAGTAGTAACTAAGGGGCTGCAAGGTATTGATTGAGTCAATGGTTTCAGCTAGAGATGTCCTTGCTCTCTCAGATTTTCCTTAAAAGAGGAAAAATTATAGTTTCTCTCTTTAAAATCCCATTCAAGTAAGTGCTAGATCTGCAAATGATTTGGCAGAACTTCTGGCCAAATTTGGGGTTGGGGATCTCAATCTTGTTTCAGGGGCTCTGTCCTAGGGGATGAGCAGCTATCCTAATAATACTGATTGCATTTTTGTTTTCGTTCAGTATCAAGCTGTTTTGTACTGCAGACTGTGTCTCTGCTGTTTGGTTCCCCTAGCAGCGGGATTTCTCCACTTATCTTCATTCAATAAAATCAAATCATTTCTGTTTTTCTTCTTTTCTTCCTTTTTTTTTTTTTGCTACTGATAAGGAAAGAAGATTGTGGGCATTGCCAGCATTAAACCATCCCCAAATGTAATTGAATCCTCCCATGACAGAGGTTTTTACTACATGCAACATACACCCTTCTAACTTCATGATGACATATATTCACCACCAGCATTATATGACACATCACTTGCCAACTATTCCAATCCCTACCATACATCTAGGGCATGTTCCCTGCAAATGCTACCTCAGAACTATATGAATACTCAATCAGAAGAATCAGCACCACCAAAGATCACTCTTCAAGATCCACTCAAAAGATTTCAACAATGTCAAAACAGCTGGCTACTCTAAATTCCTAATGGGATCAATTCCAATTTAACAGAACCAGGAATTGCAAATCCCACCTACTCCATTCTCCACAGTGGTTGGCAATGCACATGAAACTCAGACCTGTTCTTTAATAGAAAGGTATCTTAGTTAAAATGGAAACAATAGAAATAATATTCATGTAGAATAGAAACTGTTACAAAATATCAGCACTCTAAATCTCATTCACAATAGCAGACCAGCACATTCATGTTAATAAATCCACAGAGAGAGAGAAAGAGAGAGAGAGAGAGAGAGAGAGAGAAATTTTGACATTGTAAAAAACTCTATTGTGGGGGGAAAATGATTTTAGTGATCCCACTAAGTAAACTAGACAACTTAACATGTAACTAGTTAGCACTTAATGCTGACCATCCAAAAGTTAGAACCCTAAGGTGTTAACAGATTTTCTTATACCTGCATTAATTAAAATAACAATTATCAACTAAAAGTACAGTGATTAGTTTAGAACACAATATAAAAAGCATAAATTCCAACACTTATTTCTACTCACCCAATATCCACGAGGAACTTCTTTTCCACAAATATGGAAACTCTTAAGTGAATTATTTTCATGAGAAATGGCACTATTTTCTGAATAGGGAGACCACAGATCCGAAGGCCATAAGTCATCAAAATTCATAAGAATTTCTGCACTTCCCTTTCGGCACCTGATACACAAAATACTGGGTATAAGACTAAAGAAAAACTGAGTATATCAAAGAATCATAAATACAAATCTGATTTTAACCTCCTAGAAGGATGATGAGCCGCCAAGAGTTGAAGGAACCTTATAAGTGGGGCCCGAGTCTCCGACTTAATCATCTGCAGAACAAGAAGAGGTTGATGAGTTCATAAATCTCAAGCTAGAGAACAATCTAATCTAACTGGACAATTGTGGCATACCTTGTGTTCAAAGATGATATCAAAGGAACTCCAAGTTGCCTCCTCAACATCATACAAAGCTCGTAAAATCTTTCACAGGACATGGATTGTAGAAGTTAAATAATATGCTTGAATTTAAATAATACACCATTAAACTAACATGGGAGAGAGAAATCATTGGAAAAAATAGTTAATCTGGAATACCTGTCCAGGGTCTGATGCATTTAGTGGAAGATGCTCATTTTCATATTTCTCATCATCCAAACCATATGAACTGTAATGAATAGTAACAAAATTGTACTTATCATAATACCTAACTTGAAGCCAACAGTTATCACATCCACATAAAGGAATATATAATACCAGAAATTCATTTCAAACAAATTATATCACCAGACCACAAACAACAACTAAAAAGCAACATAAGCTTTTCTGAGAGTACAAATACAAGAAGGCTTCATCTTATTAACGCTTTCTTTGTTGACACAAGCATCTGGCAGAATTGAACATACTATAATGAGGAACTCCAAATCATCTTACCCTCTTCTGAACAGTAACAAACATGAGTTTTTTTTTTATTTATATGAAAAAGGAATGATATACAGAAATCGAAAACAGGAATGTGCCTGGCACTCCTTTTGGATAGGTTAACCCTGGCCAGCTAACCTGATTTTTTTATTTTACTATTAAACATATTGTTACAATTATCTCCCCTGGGAGACTGTCCCCCAATACAATGGATTTCTGTCCATCCTCTGTAATGCCAATGCATCAGCCATATTGTTCACTGATCTTTGAACCCAGTTAAACATGGCACTCAACCCCATAGCCAACAATTTGACCTCCCTCATTATGTATCTATATTTCCAAGAAACCTATAATATTATTATGTTTTTTATCAATAACAAAGGATTTCATTAATCAATAAAAAGAGTAAAAGGAGTATAAAGGGAGGAGATAACCTCTCGGTCCTCTCTTATCTCCCCCAAACAAGAAAAAACAGAAAGATTACAATTGAGCCCAAACCACTTTAACTTCCATGTCTTTTACCAGCCTTTGAAATTTCTTCTTTTCATTGCTGTACATCCACAAATCATTTACATCTCCTTTCAGTCATTCTACCACCAGCTTGGACTCTCTTTCGATGATCAGCTTCCTCAACTTTAAGTCCTTAGCTCTCTGAACACCTTCTATAGCCGCCAGAATCTCAGCTCTAAGAGAATTACCCTCTTCAATTAGGCCTGAGAACATAGCAATTATAATCCCATTCTCATCCCTAAAAACACCACCAATACCCAAAGGCCCTAGGTTGCCAATACTACTCCCACCAAAATTTTTTTTCTTTTTATCAGCAAAAGAGAACTTTATTTGAATTTAGGGTTAGATTAAAGTTTTACAGCTTTGTGTATGGGATTAACGCTCCCACACTAGTACATGTTTCTGTCCCACTTTACATTGCAGCCCAAAACAATTGTTGCCTCAAAGCCCCTTGGTTAGCAAGATAATCAGCTAGCCCATTTGCGCTCCTAACCCATTTGAATTCAGCCTCTAACTCCTTTGCAACGTTTTCCACTTCCCTTATCACTTGTACAGAGTACTTCTATTGTTTTTAGCCCAAGAGATGATCACCTTGGAATCCCCTTCAACCTCAATATGCCTTAGTCCGAGCTGCTTAGCTATCTTCAGCCCTTGTAGCAGTGCCATTAACTCAGCTTTTAGAGAGTTGCCAATGCCAATCGGTCCAGAGAACAAAGCTAATATTCTCCTTTCAGAATTTCTGATTACTACTCCGATACTTGACAGTCCCGGATTTCCAAGAGAGCTTCCATCAAAATTCAGTTTAATCCTATTGCCATCTAGAGGTTTCCGTTTCATCTCTACTTTCTCTTTCACTCTTGAGGATTGTGCTACTTCTGTCCAAGATCTTATCATGTCTGTGATTGAGAAGTCTTGAAAGATATGCAAAAATTTTACCCAATGAGCTACTTTAACTTTAATGGTGTCAATCACCTTCTCCATTTTTCAACTCTTCTCCAAGAATATCCTGTTACTCCTTTCTTCCCAAATCACCCAACAAATAGTTGCCTTCATTGCTCTCCACATAACCTTCCCACTTTTCTTTGGTTGACTCAAGAAGTCTCGGTTGAAAAGTCCTTCCACATCTTGAGGGGAAACCCACCTGCAACCAGCGTTTTAAAAGGCGTGGGAGGCGTATGCCTGGAGGCACGCCTCCAAGCGAGGCGCTCCCAAAATGCCCTAAGGCGTATGCCAGAGGCACTAACACCTCTGAGGCGTATGCCTCTAATGTTATGCATCTTTATTCTTCTTAATATAAAAGATTTTTATTAAAAAAAAAATGAGATCCCCCCTTCCTCTTCATCCTCCTCCTAACCCCCTCTTAAGGAGGCTTATGCCTCCTTGTGTTCAGGAGGCTTACGCCTCTTGAGTTCTGAACTACACTTCATGCCTCTAGATAGTGGAACGCCTCGCGTCACGCCTCCGCGTTTTAAAACATTGCCTGCAACCAAAGAGAGTACAAAAAAAAATTCCCAAATGTGATGTGCAAAGGAACAAGATAATAATAGATGTAGCAGGGACTCACCACTTTCCTTACAAAGGGAGCACATGTGAGGAGAAAGGCAAGCAAAAGGCCTTCTTCTCTGCAGCATATCATAGGTATTTACCTTGCCAAGAAAAATTTCCCAACGGAAAGCTTGAATTTTTGGGGGGATAGGCTTACTCCAAATTTCTTTCACAGGGAAATCCCCAACAGGGATGCTAGGTGAAGCGAGAACATTAAAAAAGGAAGAACACGAGAAGAGGCCATCTGAAGAGCCTTTCCAAATTCTGGAATCTTCCAAGGATGGGTCCAAGTGAACTTGTCCTATTAGATCCAGCAACTGAACTAAAGAGTTACATTCATTTTCCCTAAGGCCCCTTCTGAAACCCAGATTCCAATTGACCCCATTTGGACTAGGAGTTCCCAAATTACATACAATTTCCCCTTTAAAGTTTGACAAAGTATAGAGGTTAGGAAAAAGATCTTTAAGTGGGCTTTCTCCCACTCAAAGGTCTTCACAGAAATGAACTCCATTGCCCTAACCCACATCAAGTCAAATGGAATTAAGGAAGGTAGGGTAGATTTCATAAATTGCTTTCCAAGGAGAATTTGAAGAAACATGAGGAGCAACTTTTGCATCCCAACCATTTCCATCCAAACTATAAATACTCTCAATGACTTTGTGCCTCAACCTGTCGCTCTCAAAAGGGAATCTCCACAGCCACTTTCCTAATAGAGCTGAGTTCCTGAGTGAAAGGTTTCCTATTCCCAAACCCCCTTGATCCTTGGGCTTTCTAACTTGATCCCAATTAATCAGGTGAACCTTCCTCTCCTCTCCTGGGTCCCAGAGGAAATCTCTCATGTCTTTCGCCAAAGTGGCTCTAATATATGTTATCCTTCCACCTAGAGTGAGTGATATAATTCCTCTTCCACAGAATTAGCTTCCCAGCAAATCTTTCAATGACTGGCTTCCAAAACCCTTCTAATCTAGGGTTTCCTCCTAAAGGTAAACCCAAGTAGCTAATTGGCCAACTTCTAATCTCACACTCCAAAATCTCTATGAATCTATGGAGTTCCCCTTCCTCCAAATTAACCCCTACAATGCCAATTTTGCACCAATTTATCCTTAGACCTGTCACCCCCACAAAGTTATCCAATAGTAACTTTAGGTTTACCACTCCTTCCTCATTACCTCCCTCACAAAAAAATATTATGTCATCTGCAAATTGGAGGTGGGTAACAACCACTTGATTCCTACCTATCCTCCACCCTCTAATCAGTCCTTGGAAATCAACTTTCGCCACCATTCTGCTCAACACTTCAGCCACTAAAGTGAAGAGTAAAGGGGATAAGGGGTCTTCTTGCCTAATTCCTCTCTCACCCGAAAAGAAATCCTTCGCTACACCATTAATAAGAATTGAGTAATGAACAGAACTTAAACATCCGAATCCAGGATCTCCATTTGGTTCCAAAACCTAACCTTTCTAACGTTTGAAGGAGAACTTCCCAGTTAACCATATCATAGGCTTTCTCTAGGTCCACTTTACACACCAACCCTTTTCCTCTACCCTTTCTTTTTTCTACAACACACTCATTGGATACTAAAATTTGATCCACAATTTGCCTTCCTTCCACAAAGGCACCTTGGAAAGGTGAGATGATCGAGGGTAGCACTTTCTTGATCATTTGTTAGAGAACCTTTGGAATAATTTTGTATACACTCCCAACAAGGCTAATTAACCTATAATCTTTAGGAGTTTTGGCCTCCCTCCTCTTCGGGATTAAAGTGATAAAAGTGGCATTCACCCCTCGAGATACCTCTCCTTTGAGAAAGAATTCATTAAACACTAATAGAATATCAATTTTCAACCAATCCCAGCATTCTTGAAAGAAGGCCATTGAAAATCCATCCGGCCTGGGGACTTTAGATCTTTCCATGGAGAAGATTGCATCCTTGATTTCTTCCAAAGTAAAATTCCTTTCAAAAAAAGAGAATGCTCTTCTGAAAAACTATCCCCTTCCATTTCCGGTAGCTCTAATGTCGCCCCGCTTGAATTTGTGAAAATTTCCTTGAAGTGGTTTGCAAAGAACCTTGTGATTGGCTCTCTCTTATTTCCTGACCCCCCTCCTCCACACTAAGGATTAAATTTTTCTTTCTCCTTCCATTTGCAATTGTGCGGAAAAACTTAGTGTTGCCATCTCCTTCAACAATCCATTGACACCTTGATTTCTGTCTCCAACAGATTTCCTCCTTCCTTAACATCTCTTCCAATTCTTGCTTGATTTTCCATCGATCCTCTCTCTTTCCTTATGATAAATTTCTTATAGCCTCTTTCTTGTCTAGCTCCTCAATATTCCTCACTATGTTATCTTTTATTTCCTCTACCCTCCCAAAATGCTCTTTATTCCATTCTTTTATTTTCCCTTTTAGCCTCTTTAATTTCCTAGCAAAGCTTAACATTTTCAAACTCCCCAAGGGTCTGAGTTCCTGCCACCAATCCTTCAATCTGGTCTTAAATGTACAATCCTCAAACCACATATTTTCAAATCTGAATGGAGTAAGGCCGCCCCTTGGAATTTCCTTTTCAATGGAAATGGGGCAATGATCTGAAGTAACCCTAGGTAGCCCTTTCACTACTATTGAGCCCCACGATTCTTCCCAATCGGGAGTAATGAGAAACCTATCCAGTTTGGAACAGGTTGGGGGATTGAAA